TTGGTGTCCTTTTCGGGGGTTTTGCGCAAAAGAAGCGGTTTTTGGTCGAAAAGAATCGGAGAAACGGTTTGTGACGTCATTTGCGATGATTTTGTGATTTCTATAGAGACTATCGAACTATCGATCGATTGTTCACTCGTTCATCGATTTCTTCCATTCGGGAGCCTTCGTCTGGAAAAGGGGTCACCAAAGGGTCAGAATGGGGTCAAAGGTCACGAAAGAGCGCTTACGTCGACGCCTCCCAACTCTTTGCTGATGTCTTTCTTGACGGGCTTCAGACTGCCCTTCATATCGAGTTTCATTAACTTCATAGTCCACTGACGCATCTTCTCCATCTGCGTGGCCGTCTTCGAGATCTTCTTCAGCGGCGGAATTATACTGAAGAGGAATACAAGACAATTAATCCGTCGCTACAATCAGTGAACCCTTTCTTCGCTCACAATCTTCCTCTGACGTCATTCACTTTGGCCGACAGTTCGTTGATCTGAAAGCAGAGCTCCAATCAAACCTCTGCTCCCGTTGACCCCCTCCCCACCCTCCCTCACCTCGTACTCCTTGGCCACAGTCGTGACCTCCAGATCGAACTTCTCCGCATCCAAAGCCACAATCCGTTTGTAATATTCGTTGCAAATGGCGATCAAAACGGCTATAAAAGAGAGACCGGAAGTGAGAGTCGGAAACCGGAAGTCCGCGCAAACCCTCGTCCGTCTCGTCCTTGACGTTCTTCGGCTGTCCCGCGCGCTCTTCGATAATGCGTTTCCTTTCAATAGATTTCAACTCCTGTTCTCTCTTCAGCTCTTCCGCCGCTTTCTTCCGCAACAGTTGCTGAAAGACACCACACGTTATCATAATCCCTGTGCCCGACAGCCCTCCCGCTCACCCGCAACTTCTTCTTGCGCTCCGGAGTCATGAATCCCTTCTTTTTCGTGGACTTCATCTCCGCTTCGAGTCTTTCGCGGATTTCTTGCTTTTTTCGCGCCTTTTCGTCCTGTAATCCAAATT